ATATATTTCCTTCTAAATTACGTCGTAGAATGTGATTTGGTCAAGATATGTTTAATTTATTTGGTTATTTGAACTTATTTTATATACCAGTTATCGATCGCCTTCGAACATAACAGAAATTTGTGATTATCAGATGTAAAATATTATCAGAACTTTTCAATTAAAATTTCGCCTCTAACTGTGCATCAGGAAATTATTCTACCATTTACATTACTAGTTAGCTTCATATTGACAACTAATAAGATCTAGAAGTACTAGGTAGCTGTCCCATCTCATAAACAGACGCTACCATTGTGTATATAGAAGACTCTACCAGGAGTTAAACTCAGAACACACAGATCTCACTGTAGAAACTTAACTGTTACGCCACTAACCTGGCATCCAGTGGATTGGATCGCTTCTTTTAACCAATTCCTAGTACTAAGCATACAACGTCCAGCGACTTTGATCACTAACTGCCTCATATATTTATTAGACGAATACTAAAACAAATTAAATATGAAAACCGTCCTGATTTTCGATGGTTTTCTAACCTAAGAATTTGCATAATGTCAACCGATAAAAATTCAACAATCATCACAAAACATTCATAATAATAGTAAATGGTTCATGATACTTCGAGAGAAATTTTTTGTCCATGAAAAAAAGTAATTGAATATCAGTCATTTTTGTGCTGTTTATCATTTTGAAACTATTTCTTTAATAATACAGTAAATCGTTGAAACCTCAATTAACCCCATTTAATCACTTACCGGCTTCACTGTTGAGTAAAGTTGTTAATTTATGCAATTGAGGTTAGTTTATTGATTCCGAACCTGATAGTTTAAAATAATAATTACCTTCCGGTCAGTACGTGACATGACTTAATCATTATTTAGTGACATAAATAATATTTAATGCAGTTTCAAGATTTGTTGAACTTTGGCTATTACCTTTTATCCCTCTATACATAATCAGGAACTCATCTTACTACTAGTCTCATTATAATTACTATCATATATCGTTGATATGGAATTTATGAAGATTGTTTCATCCGACATGTTTGAAATAGTAAAATGCCAATATGGTTTCTCAGATTTTCATTACCTCTTAGGAATTTCGTCATCTTAGAATGACAATCAACTTAAATGTCTCCACGAACCTAGCTAACTGACTCATTCCGAGAGGAGACAGATGTCATGCAAGGTTGCTTACTCTAAACATTTCTCTGGTGGTCGTCTAGTTTATGAAGACGTCAGCATATGGGTGGAAGTACATGTTGCAGTGGAGAGTTCAGAAGCAGCTAGACAATCTGGACTTAGCAGGTGATCTAGCCTTTCTATCCCAGACGCAACAACAAACGAAAGATAAGAAGACCATTGTGGCATTAGACCCTGCAGCAGTAGGTCTCAACATACGCAAGAGAAAATGTAAGATCCCACGATAAAACACACTATTCATTAATCAATTCGCACTCGATGAAGAAGCTTTGGAAGATATGGAATCCTTTATAGAACTGAAGTATATCAATGGTAAATAAGGTGGATCTCATGCAGATGTAAAGACACAGATTCTCAAAGCGACGGCAGCATTCCTACAGTTGAAGAACACCAAAATCACAATTTTTAATACAAATATCAAGACGGTTCTTCTGTACGGAGCAGAAAGTCGACGAACAACAAAATACATCATTCACAAGATACAAGTTTTTATCAACAGTTGTGTCTTCATCGTAATGACGACTTGTTGGTCAGACGTTATCAGCAGCAACCAACTGTGGCAGTGAACGTACCGAATTCCACCTAAAGGATAGCTGGCGGCAGATAGGACAAATATTATGGAAATCATCCAATCGAGCTACGAGACAAGCTGTATTTTAGGTTGTTGAAGGTCAAATCAGAAGAGGTTGTAGATGAACGGGCCTATCTTGCTGACAATAGAAAGCAGACTAGAAAGGAGAGTTTTTTGGGGTAACAGGCTTATGTAAGCGATTCTCCATGACCCTTTAGTCCTAATAAAATTCAACTTGTTAAATAATGTAATGAATCACTGTAGGGCTGTTTCGTCTTGGTACGGGACTCATCAACAGTGTGCCCCCACCCTACGAGGTGCAGAAGTCATGGATGCCTACTGCTGCAGAGTCCCATACCAGGACAAAACGGTCGTCAAGTGCCTCCAGGTTTCTACTGGTAGTCTAACAATGATTGATTGATCAATTCAAACGTGTAATTAACTAGTCTTTTATTTCGTCTGGACAGCATTTATCTCATTCCATGATAAAAGTTGAGAAGATAGTATGAGTTTATTTTGATGTATCAAAGTTAAGGTTTTTCCGATTTTTAAGTTGTTCCTTAATTGTGAAGCGTCATATTCAATAAGCTACCTTATAACGGAACTTTTTGTTCAAATTTATTACACACTACATGGTTGTACTGTAGCAGGTGTTGTAATCATAACAATTGTTGTGTGTACTTAATATATATTGAGCCCAAATGACTTGTCCTAGCCTCTAGACAAACTAATTGACTTTTTTAAGTCTCTCCAAGTTACTATTTACACGTCTTTTCACCTTGTCAATCATTCACTTGATTACTTTTACTTATTTTTTTCTGATTATGAAAAACTTAGCCATGCGTCATTGCACAATCTCTTAAAACCGTTTGTTTTGTAGTAAATTCTTTTCTCCATGACTTCTTCACTATTCTCATTTCATTTATCCTGCTAATCATTTTTCATTTAATTATTCAACTTTATTGTCATACTTATTTTTGATAAATAAAGATTTTTTCAAATATTCAATTGTACTTTTGCGATTTAAACTTTATTGAACATTGTACTTTGTCACAATAATAATTATCCTTATTATATTACTGTGGAAAAAAGGTAAGGTGTTTTTCGTCAATATGCTATGAAGTAATTTTATCAGTGTACACTACCTCAAAACCTTATAAAAGCTACACTTGTTGAAACTTATTTCATATTCTGTCCACTTCAAAAGTACCATCAAAAAGTTTCCTCTCTAATCCACTTCATTATACATGCACATACGATGGACGAACTGATGCGTAACTAATAGGACTATCAGTTTATGATTACCATGCTGAACTGTTTTGAAAAGAACGGAAGTTTGTGAATTCAAAAACGATAGTGTACTGTTTTTTTTGGGGGGAGTTTAACAAAATTCCATCTAAACTGATCAGCTTAAACTTAAAAATATCTATTCAACAGAATCTAAGATTTTTTTAAAACTATTTGTTGGATGTTTACAATCCTAAATCTTAGTTTCCTTATATATTTCTTCAATTTACTGATAGGAATTATTAGAGTAAATATATGGACTCTTTCAATCAGTCATCATTGGAGTATGATTGACATATATCATCATATTACGATACACTAGATTTCATAAAAGTCATTATCAAACTGTCTACTGAATTTTCTAGAACTCGGATTATATATTTTACTCAAATTGTAATATATTTACAAAATAACATATGGAATGTATGTATATATATGTCATTAGAAGAACATAGGTAAATATCTGTTTTACACAGATAGATAGATAGATAGATAGATATATCTGTTAATCATCTCATTTATAAAATATACTTTAAAATAATCATGGAAAAACATATGTTAACAATTGACCATTTAGTTTTGTATATATGAGCAATGCTTTTAACTGTGGTTTGAAGTAATTTAGAATTTGGATGAATGTAATTATATAAATGTCTTGAATCTTTTGATTTAGGTACATTTAAGTTAATTGAAGCCTTGGATACATCTATAAAAAGAGAAAAAGTGAAAGGTTTGACAAAAGTTAAATAAAGTATCAATCTAAACCTAATCGATAGAGGATTTCGTGTGTGTACTTTTACGTCGAGCCCACAGGGCTTGTACCGAGCGTTTGGACAAATTAGCTAATACATTCTTCCCGAGTTATTATCACCCTGTCTTTTGACCTTGTCAATTATTCGCTTATAATCTTGGTCGTTTTTATCGGAGTATGTGTGAACACTGCCTTCTTCGCTCACTGCTTGCCTAGGTTCTTTTTCTCCGACTATAAATACTTAGTCAAGCCTCATTGTATAGAGTTCGTTCACTTGCCTTCTCCATTGGCACACTATTCATTATCGTCTGTCTACCTAATTGCATATATGAAATAAACTTCAACCGAATTCATTTTGGGGTTCTTAAAACCGCCATCGCGTGAAGGGGGATCACCTAAGTATGATATACGGAAACTGAATGGGAGATTTATTTCATCCTATACTCTATCATTCGTAAATATAGGAGTCATCACGAATCACTAAATTTTTTAAATAGATTTTTAGATTTAAAATGATAAGGAAAATGTTAAAAATAATGGTCGAATTCTTCTTTATTTGATTATTTAACGCAGTTACTTGTAAACATAGTCATCCAGGGTAATCATAGATGATGGAAATCTGCTGTATTCGTTTTGAATATATACAGTCAGAAAGTCGAATTTACTAATATACCTATTCGGAAATAATTCTAATCTTAAAGAGTAAAAGACTGTTCGTTATAAAAGGAGAAGAAATTAAAGGTTGTTCTCATGAAACGATTCATGAAATAGTGTATTTCAAAACATTTCAAACTAACCTGAACGATTTATAAAGTAGCTCCGTCATCCTGTAAAATTTTCGACTTATATTTAATTGAAATCATACCAGCGACGATTCGTGTTTAGAAAGGTTAAAATATCCTAATTTTGTAGTAGTCTTGCGTATACTTGACTCGAGCCGTGGATCCAGCATTTAAAATACATGGTCGTCGGATCAAAAACTCTGATTCAATGGTCTGAAACAAACTTACCAACAGTTTAATCTGTGTTAAATTTGATTCTCCATCGTAAGAGATTACTGACACGCGGAGGAACTGGCAGTTTGGTGCTTTGTGATTTTCAATCGTTTTCTCATTGAAATCAGTCAGCTAAGTAAAATATCATTTGCGAATTCATAATCCTAATATCTTTAAATATTTTCAATACACTGTCTTTCATTTAAATCCTTATTTTACTATAACTATGTGAGATCACCGATCCCTCTTGCTTAAGAGAGTTGCTTAATAATCATATTCATCTGACACACGCATACGCCAAAGCTTGATAGACATATACTGTATATTAAAGAAATACTATTTGAATCAATCAATTATGAAAGCAGCATCCATATTATATAAAACATACTATGAAATCCCGTAGATTTAACATTGAATAACATACCGATAATATCTACTTCAATTCTTCCAAACATTATTCTTGAAGAGGGTACAGAGTAGTGGGATGTCGTCAACAAGGGAAAAGGTCGATTATTTTTTATGGGCGAGATTGATAAACGATCATTTCGAATTTTATCCATTGATAATAAACTTTTATGCATTGGATCTAAATGAATCATATGTGAAGATGTTTTTCTAGTGATATTTTTACTTGGTTTGTATCGTTCTAAACATATCCACTGTCCAGTATCAGAATCACTTGCCCATTTTATAAATAGTCGACTTTCGAGTGTTTTCGAATCTAACCATTTTTGTTCAATGTACACACCAGATTTGAATGGATCGGATAATTTTCGTATACCATGATGATACCATTCTAGGAGAATTTCATAATTGGATGTTTGAATATCGGTAGAAAATTTTGCATAGCATTTTAATTCTAATGGACTGCCGTAATACACTGCACGTGGTCCAGTGACTGTAAGTGCTAAGTGTTACAATATGCATATGAAAGCAAATAGAAGACGTTTTTACTTCAAGAGTTAATAGTTTTATGAAGAGAAATTTGACTAAAAACATAAATTTATATTTTTTACTGACATTATAAATCGTCAGTTAATGCTTCATTATCTTACGTTACGTGATGTTGATGCATGAATATCCTATTCTGACGATTATATTTCTAAAAAACGATTTCTCGATATCTACATTGGCAGTGAATATAAAGCTTCAAACAGTCTAGATAACTGATACCATATTTTTACTGAATTGAGTTAGTATATAAAGTTAAACTTATAACAGTCGTTAACTGTGATGCTACCACCAGAATTTTCGCAGCATTGGTTAATGAATGGATTTTAGTACAACAGTGTTTGACAATTTATTTTCAAATAGTGTTATCTCAAGTTAATTTAAAGAAAGACTAGTCATATATTACTTAGTTTGGTTTTATATAGATTCTAATTAACTTTCATGATTTCAATAAACCGTAATCAAAAGAATACCCTACAGGGATCAAACGAATTGTAGACAACGTATTATTCTCTATGAATGCAATTTCGATATTCAGTTGAGAAGAACATGTGTCTTCACAACAACCAAATAGTTTTAATAACTTTTGAATTTGATGTTTGCTCGATGTACATAGTGCTGAGAACGATGTTCATCATATTAGTCCCTTTTATAAATTTTGATAGAACAGTGCGAAGACGTAATTGATCTGATAAATGTGATGTATTTGCACTATACAATGTTTTGAAGTCTGTCTTGATGTCAGTCGTATGCCCTGTCTCAATTATGTGTTTTGCGATCGATGAACATGATTTTCTATTTCCCACGCTAATCAGCTCATCTGACGTTAGCTGATTTTGAAGTCACTTAGGCACATGTTCCATAACTCTTGAATGCAAAGTCCGATTACTCCTCCTTATGTATATGAACGTGTAGAAATGTTGAAGGACAAATTTTGAGGTTTATGGAAGCCTCGGCTATTAGAAAATTAAAACCCCCCTTATGTATGCAGAAACGATTTGTTATAACCTTGAATTTACCCTGGTAATCTTTAAGCCTAGGATAATGTAACAATTTTACGTTAATTTGTAATCATTCGATTACAGTATCGATTATTGTGTATTTGTTTGTGTGTGAAGGTGCTTACTCGCTTATCACATGTCTAGTCTATTATTGCTTGACTATAAATACTCAGTCACTCTTCAACTTATGGAGAGTCGGCTCACTCGCCTTCTCCTATTCTCTTCGTTGCGCTTGTACGCTTTTCCCTTTTCATGTTTGTCTGCATAAATGAATGCATGAAATAAATCCATCTGCAATACCTTATTTGACTTCTTACTACGGCCGTCGTACAAACGGGGTTAGCGTAAGTATAATATACGGAAATGGATAGGAAGATTTATTCCACTGCACACTCGATCATTCCTCAACACTGAAGTCAAGTAGTGAGCCGCTAAAGTTTTCATGATATAAAATTTTTTTAACTTTGATGAATATAAAAAGAATTAACATAATTGTTTAAAAAATTAAGATTAACTTACTTCTATTTTTAAAAATGGAATTATCTGACACAACAGTTAGATTTGCTTGTTTCTCTCCTACGGACCATGGTTCCACTTTTTATCATTTAAACAAAAAAAAGGGCAACAATAATTGAATTATGTGAACATGTTTTGTTTTCACGATAATGGAGTTATGAATAAGAATATTATTGCGAAAATAAATTAACAAACAAGATTATTCATCAGAATTCAGGTACTAAATGATCCGATTCATTCAAATAACATTACACTCTAATCGGCATTTGGTTTTTTTTTCTAAAATTAGCTTCTCACCTGAAAAAAACATACCCTTGATGAAATTTACTGTATGTTACTTGTTTTAAACGAAAACAGGTTGATCATTGAATACTTCAATCGAGCATTATGTTCAACAGAATTCAATGAAAACATGTACAGTAAAAAATATGATATAATACCTAAATTAATAATTGACTCTATTTTGTATTCAATTATCTTTGTGAACATCAATCATGCCTTTCATCAACCGAAATGAACAAGTAAGGTGTTGGGATTTTGTATTTGACCCTTAATGGGTGAATTCTGTACACATTTTAAACAGTTTAATTAACATAACAATTGTGTTTAACAGTAGAATGAAGGTAATGCTTATTAGTTAGTTATACATAGTCAGAATTAAGAAATACGCCGGAAAATGCAAAATTTTAATAAACATTTACACTAACTAATAACAATGCTAACATTGTATTCCATGTTCTCATAATCAATGGACACTGGAAGTACCTTGAGGTCATTCATTTTTCTCAGAAATATTGTAACCAATTGAGCAATGTGCATTCTAAATACTGGCACTTGTTATGTGTACTATTAAAATTAGCCATAAAATTACACTATCTGAAATAAAACATCATCTGTATGACTTGAACATGAGCAATGCTCATCGTGGTGAACTATAAAACTGTTACTTAATTTATAAATTTAAATGTTCAATACCAGATAGAAGAAATAAATATTATGAACCCGAAAAATCAGTGAGTAATACATTTGAGGGATTCTTTATTATTATTATTATTATTATTATTATTATTACTAGATTTTTACATTACAATAAAATGTAGCAGTTTAATGAAACAACTATGAACTAGTTGAAAGTGTTCAATTCATATTTACACAAAGCTAATCAAGCAGAATTTTCAAAAAAAAGAGACATTATTTTAAAACAAATACTGAGAAATATTGAACACTCTGGTCATGCGAGTAAATTCAAAATCAAATTAACTGATTCGATTGTGTATTGCATTTACTAATCAGAATTATGAATGAGTCATGTTATTTTTATGCCTAGTTTTAATAGGGCAAAATGTGGTCTTATTTGTTTTTTTAGTCAGAGTTACGGAGATCAGTGATTTAATACACTGAAGTCATCAATCAGTCATTGTTAGACCACCATTAGAAACCTGGAATCACTGAATGAACCTTTCTTCCAGCTATGGGACTCATCAGCAGTACGCATCCACAACTCCTGGTACTCGTGCCCCAGAGGTTAGGCGTTCGCACGAAGACAGAAGGTCCTGGGTTTGAACCCTCCGAGTAGCAGGAGTCGTGGTTGAGGACTGCCTACTTGTTTTATTTGACAGTGAATATGTTTGTCAAAATATTATTTTCGTGAATAAGAAAATATCTTTTTATTACTTCATAGATAGCTTTCGATAAGCACTGTTTTGGACGGGGTCCTGTAGTAGAATGAAACAGCTGTCAATTGATTTCAAATTTTCAATGGTTAATTAAATAAGAATGATTCATAATCTCATGAAAAATAATTTTTTCAGTTTTAAAATAATTGATTTACTTTACTTGCAATTACAAACATTAGGTCAGCTGACAAATTTTCAGTAGAAAATTAAATTAAAAATTTTATTTTCTATGGAAGCACTCTTCAACTCAAGTACACTATTGCTTGTGGTATGTTTTTCTTAGGTAATCATCTATCCGTACTGTTAATATACCCGACATTTTGTGATCCCTATTTATGTAGTTTGATTAAAATATGTTTCCTGTGTGTTGGAACAAAAGATTACGCAAGAGAATGCATAACATACTTCGATTTCTCGGAAAATTATTTCTTGTTAAATCTACCAGATTTTTCAGGTTAAATTTAGGAAGAGATAACAGAACCTTTTCAAAAGTGTTGGTTATATGTAACAAAACAAACTTATATCATCTCTAAAATTACTATTTAGCAGTAATCCTGATATTTTACCAAAAAAAAGCTAGGTTTAACAGAACATAAGTTGTTTATTTACATTCTAAGCTTTTTTCAGGTATTTTCTACAGATTACTACAGTTGGGTTGTTTTTAAAACATTTTAGTAAAGAAGAATGGTTTCATGGATTATTTGAGTCTTGTCTGTGTTACATATCTGTTGGGACGTTAGATTCCCAGAAATCGATTGATAAATGTCCTAATTTTGGATTTTATGTTTTCAAGCATTGGCTGATTAGTCGATCTTGAGATTACATTTACCACCCGGAAATCCTTGACTGTCATTGATCATTATTTTAGTACTCTATTTTTGTGGCATTTCCACGGACGTTTCTATAATGTATCGACAAACACGACTTGTGTGCTTGTCAACTTCAAATTTTCTGAGTGCTTGTAGAATACACCTTCTATGACCTCTTGATAAAGTTAGCAGGGCCATGGACAAACGCATTAGAATAGCCTATCGTGTCACTGCATCATTTTTCTTCACTCTCGTTAACCGAGTAAGGTGAACTCGTAATAGTTTCAAGCATATCAATTGACGAGCATATCAGTATCTTCTGTTCAGAGAAAAATTTCTATTTCCATGCTCTTTTAGACTATTTGTATTTATTTGTTCAAAGAATAAGTCAACTTTCGAACATTTTAAATTTTTCCGTATTATTTTATTTTAATATTAATCTATTTTCACATATTAAATCTATTTATTCTAAATGTTTCTGATCTAAATTATGCACATTCGCTTCTGTTCAATAAATGCTTTTAGGTTGTAAGCATCTAAGTAGAATCCATGAAATGAATGAATTCTTATTGCTTGCTCTGTTACGATAATTGTCCTTTCTTCATTCCTGTTCATAACATGTATATTTCAGGAAGATATAGTAAGAAATAAAGGCTGTATGAAGATGTTTCAATTACGAAAATCTCCTTTTCTAACGATGTTATTATCTGAAGCTGCGGACGTGTACTCACCGGTGATTATTTACATGTGATGATAAGCAATAAATCTGAAGCGTTACAAAATATTTTAAAGCTGTCAAATTTAACCAATTATTGAGTAAAGTTCTGTTGTATAACATAATGAATTTTATCAAAGGATTTCATCTATCGATTAGGAAACAGAAAGAAAGAATACCATTTTCAAGTAAATGAAGTTGTTGAAGTTTTTCAAGTATTCAGTGAAACGGGTGTTGAAACATTTAAGCCAAATAATCAAAAATCAGCAGCAGTAAAAGTTATAAAGCATTTTAGAAAGTACTAAAATGTTATAATCAATAGCAGAAAAGCAAAAGATAACTGTCAACTTTATTAGGGAGGAGAAGAAAGTGAAGAGTTAGTGAACAATTTACATTTATGGTGTGTTAAACTGGGAGAGTTACTAACTGTGGAAAAATATAAGGTTCGTATATGATTCTTTTGTACATAGAGATCAGGTTTAGCCGAAAATTTTTGGCTCAGTTCTTTTTACTTTGTAAATTATTTTAAACTATAAATTGTTTAGTGAGATGTGACCAGGGTTTGTCAAGTGTTAAAATATCTAGTTGATGTTTGTTTTGCATTCACTTGTACATAGACAGTTAAGGTAGTGCCTGGATATTTTCTTACCAAGTAAACAATTTTAACGGCCAATAGAACTTGATTTATACGAGTAAGTAGACTGATTAGCGTGTATTTAGGCGACCTAAAGTAGCTATTTATTTTTGGCACGTCCTTAAATTGTTTTTGCTGGTGAGAAACAGTTCGCGTAATTTATAACGGAAACATCATGTAGCCGAGAAAATCTAAATGTCGTCGGTCAGAATATATGCAGGTAAAATGTGATAAGTGTTACTATGACTATGTACATTTCTTAAACTTAATTTCCAGTGATTCTGATAGTCCGTTGTTGATATTTCGACAGAATGTTGATATGTCTCATTTGTCAGATAGAAAAGCATGTGGCACACTAAACATTTCTGTATAATATGAACGAAAATACTTGAGAATTGGTAAATGATCTGCTAACACAAACGAATAATATCTCAGAGATTGGGAAAGAATTTGAAGATCTAGTAATTTTGTTCAGTGATTTTGTTTCCTGATACAGTACAACTGATGTTAGAATGTCATACGTAGTCGACAAGAAACTCTAGACTTAGGTTTAGTGCTTGATGATACTTGTTAGTAAAGAACTGGGCGTCTTTGACACATTCTGGAAGGTTCTTGTTTGGCTATTTGGTCCACGGTTCACCTGATATGTAAATAAAACATTTACATTTGGTTGATCACTGAGTAATGAAAAATATTTTCCTAATCCATTTATAACATTCAATCGATTACTCAAAACAAAGTGTTTTATTTAGCACAAAAAAGCAAATATCCAAAGTATCAACAAATTTCATCATATCAAGTATTATGTACAATTTCTAATTCGTTTTAATTTCAAACGGTAGAATCATCATCAAAATAAATTACTTGAATATGTGCGATGGTTTTGAATACGCTGAATCACAGAAATTAATCTACATATTGTGACTAGGATGTTGAATACTGCATAGAACTATGTCCACCACAAAATTTTGTCATTTTTACAACGTTTTTATTAATAAAAAGTAAATTTTTTCATCGACAATTCAATGATAAATATTTCTCAACTAGACAGTTAAATATAAAATATAATACGTCATTTAAAACGATATAAAATGTATATCTAATGGCTAAATAACGCTAAATTAAGCTGATAATTGATTGAACTTATCAAAATTTATAAAATAAAACACGTCGTTGCATTGTAAACTTGAATAAATTCATGTCGAAGTCTATCAGGCATATATGTATAGCATTACGGGGTTGTGAAGATTGTTAAGTTATACATTTTTGAAACCATGAATCAATCAATGTTAGATCACCATTAGAAACCTGGAAGCACTGCAAGACGGCCGTTTCGTCCTGGTATTGGACTCCTCAGCAGTGCGCATCCACGACTCCTGCACCTCGCAGGATTCTCACCCAGGACCTTCGGTATTGTGCGCGAACGCCTAACCATTGGACCACTGAGCCGGTATCTAACGGTGTTAATGTCTATATATATATATATATATATATATATATATATATATATATATATATATATATATATATAGAAAGATTTATACTTACCCACAGATATATAATAATCCGGATTATTCTTTTGTTTCCTAGTCAATGTTACATTCACATTCACTGGATTTACAGCTTGATCTGTATTGTTCTGTACATTAGCATTTTGATTGCTCATGTCTTCTTTGTGTATCGATTTTGTTGTACATGTATACAATCCACTATCGGTTAATTTAGCTTTGATTATACGTAATATCCATTTATTTGGTGACTTTTGTTTAATACTAATTCGTTTATCCGGTATAAATCTATGCTTGCCTATTGTAAGTGGATATTCTTCTCCAATTTTATTCCATATAATCTGAAATTAGGTGAAAAATGTTTAGAAAAGGCAGATTTTTAAGATAAAATAATAATTAATATATGTATTAGGTGGCAATTTCACCTAAAAATAGCTTTTAACAAGTTTATTCAATAGGAACATAGGTATTAATGTTTGTTTTTTTGTTTTGCTTAAAAAGAATGACAATATGATGAAATCAACTTTTTAGACTGTCAATTAAGAATTGATAAATCTCCGACATTGATTAGCTACTCTTTTAACCTTTTTTTCCAATAAATCATATCCCCATATACAGCTTATTTTGAATGTTAGGTGATATTTTTAACAGAGTTTACTTTTCCACCTTTTTTCCAGTTTTTTAAAGCAAAATGAAGTAGTTATCTTATTTTTCAGCTTGTTTTGTTCAGTAAGTGAATAGAAACCTTTGGAAAATATGAAATTATGTCATAAATTCAATATGTACACGTGGTAATATTGTCAATGAGTGTATGAATTGAACTTAGTTTAAATTTCTGTTTAAAAACAACCAGGGTTATCAATATAAACATTGTAAACGATGTCTGTGAATGAAAGTTGAAATTAAATCGGTTTGCAAAAAAGTAGTTTGATATAACTGTATTCAACAGGATAAATAAATTCATGGTGTTTTTGGCACAATCGTTGTCCTTACTTTTGTAAATAAGGAACATTATTACCTGAGATTGATGCCTTTCTGTTAAAGCGAAGTGAATAGATAGATATTATCAAATAATGGTCTGTATAATATCGATCGACTATCAATCACGTGTTATTAGTTGATCAAGTATCAGAGCATAATACTTTAAAAAAAAAACTAACCACTATGACGTAATACTCGTTTAAGTTTGCATTTGGATATTTTTGTAGCCTTCAGTGTGATGTAACGTTGACATGAGAACTATATTGTAGAACAATACATTTTGGTGAAGAAAACAGCTAGGTGAGGGATATGAGAAACAACAGACGAGAAATATTTCAGATACACTTATATTTTCGTTTAAAATTCCTATTTCTGAAACATTTTACGAGATAGAATGTTTTAAGAAGGCTCCTTCTTTCAGTAAATCAGTAATCTTTATTCACTAATGATCAACTGGATTCGATCAACTGGAACAGACAAAATATGATCAAAAATATCTCCAAGATTTTGTCTGTAAAACCTTATTTCACTGTTTTATGACGAATAGTCGGTAGAATTCGTTGAATACTCGCCAGTTAGCATTAGAAATCGTGAACAATTAAAAAATGAATTTTGTAACAGGTGAATGATATTTTTTTCACAAAATATAAAAGTTCAGTAGAACCTTAGGACGAAAATAACAAAGTTTTGTTTGAAAATCTATAGATTTATAATATATTAGTCCACGTTCTTATGAATAAGTGAAATATAACTTTTAAAAAAGAGATTATTTTTCACTCCTCATTCATACTAGTATCATGCACACTGACTTGTTTCATAACAATTAGTAATTCATGTTTGATCATTTGGTTTGAGGAAAATGGTCCATTAATATTGGAGCTACACAATGGTACTGTGAACAAGTTATAATAAATCTAACTCCATGATTTCTGGGCAGTTACTACTAAATAGTTGACAGTTAGGCATTTTAAATAGTAAGAAGCCTGAAATATTCTGTTTTCCATGTATAACACCGTTCAAAGTGTCTAGACATTGTAATGCACACAGGATTGCTAATCAAAGGAATCTTGAACAAGTCTATTTAATAGAGAAATTTCTTTATGGTGGGAGTATTAAGTTAAATTTGTTTTGATTTCTAACTTATTTATTTCAGCTTGTTACTCCTCGTGGAGCAATGGCCGTGGGACAGGAGTCTCAGACCTGCTCTCTATCAGGCACCATAACTCCTCTAGTTTAACTGCTAGGTTAGCAATCCTTTCCAGTAGATCAGAGCCTTGCAAACCCCGATTTATAATCTAATTTCAGATTGGTCTGTTTCTTCATGATCAGGTTGATCATAGGACTGAACGTATACACTGTCTATCATAAGAAATAGTGGGTATTTGTAAACGGTTTTAGTTTTTACACTCTCATACAATAACTTACCACATATGGTCCTTCCGGTACAATACAACGCATTCGAATAGTTTCTCCAACAAAATATTTAACAAATCGTAAATTTGTATTCGAATCCAAATTTATGTCAATTTGTTGTTTATTTAAATTATATAATACTGTACTACTTGGTGAATAGAAATCACTAAAAGTTTTATTTATTGAAATACGACTATCATTCAATTGTTCAATTTCATTGTATAAAGAATCGTCCAATTTTTCATTAGTCTCTGTAAAAAAAATCAATAGATAAACATTGTTTGTATACAAATGACAATAAACTATTTACATCCAATACTAAGTAGTATTGATTGTATAACTCATTTAATTATTGAGATGGTAGAGAAAATGTGTAGCTCAGTTAAATGTTGATGATGGACTTTGATTCTCTGAGCTAGATATTTTGCTTGTGAAGCTTTCTTTGCTATTTCGAACAACATTATGATGATGAAAACGAAATTCCGCCATAATTATTCACCGATGATGATCAAATAACAGTGATCTGACAACCAATCTAAGTCAGTAGATTATGTTCAACATGAAAACTAAAGCTATCATCCTTTAAATAATAGCAATTATAAAAAATTCTAGATACATAAATAAGTTCATAAATCTTATAAAAGAAGAATGTATTGTGATGAAGGAGAACACAGGGGGGGGGGCAACCGAATTGTATTTAACGAAATTACAGAGTTACTCAGTAAAATAGGAAAACCATATCGTAAATCGTTCATTTGCAAAATATCAGTCCATCATATCGAACTGGACTGTTCCTGTTGCAAAACATCAATCCATTGTCTGACATTTCACTGTTCATGCGTTTCATACAAATTCCATTGTGTTCCCACTCTTCCTTTCTTGATCTTCCCCCATCTTCTGCTGCCAGACATTACGTTTACACTCACATCATATACTACTTATAAGTAGCGCGCACCACAGTATTTTATAATAAATCAGTTTGATTTTTAATGTATTACAAAGTGCAGTTCGTTAATTCAATGACACATAATAGTTGATATAACATGCAATGGTGGTCGAACACTTGAATCATTCACTCAGAATGATTAGTCATCAACTGATCATTAAAAATTCTCATTCTCAAGTCGACCATCGTTACCCGAAATTTAAAGTACGGTTTATAGTCATCGTTTAAGCATTACACCAGATTTAATAGACTTCGCCTTTTAAAAGGCCAAAACAAGTTTGTAAGGCTTTTTTTAGCCACGCTTCAGATACTCAGGGTTTTCATACCTAGAAAGATGAAGATTCAGTCTTGAATCTTCAGCAAATCTCTGTTATAAATTTATATACTATACACGATAAAGAAACGTTCACAGTGCATACTATGCACACAGTTATAGAAGCCTGATTTTAAAAGCATACGTTTTTAAGTGCACATTTAAAATATAATCTAGTCATTATTGTTTTACAACAACAGCATTTCAAATGTGAAAACATATGACATTATTATAACCTATTACTTTTGAATACATCTGTTTTCTTGAGCCATCACAATTGTACTTTATGAAACTTTGGGTAAGCGTAGGATAACTGTCGTTTTTTCAAACACATCTCATAAATATTTACCAAATGCACAATTATGTAGTTCCAGTGGAAAACTTAATCAAGTATTTTCTTTGTCTGGTAAAATGATAGTATTATTAGTCCTTGATCAAACTTAACTCTTTAATAAACATAGGTGTTATTTGTTACTGATTGATTTTAATGCGAACACCTCACCGAACCATGGAGTGATGGGCATCTAACTCATCTTTAGTCACGCAACTTACTAAACGCAAGTTAACGCAGGATATTTATGACTAGTTTGATTGTAAGATGAACAGTTATTCAATGTAGATAACAGAACATTATATTCTCTTAGGCCAACTTTTGGATAATGCAACTGTAACTGACAGATAAAGATACATGTATGGTTTTCCCATTGTACCCATTAGATCGTGTATTTCGATTGATGGCCAAAATTAACTCCTTAAAATACATCATTGATATGTTATTATACAACGAAATGAAGACGATTCAATAAACTGAATACAATGCTTGTTACATTTCACCTCTAATTAGTAAGATTCAATGTGTTTTTAAAACCAGATATTATTTTCAATATTTATAGCGGATACATTATTTACTAGTTAAATGTAATAAACTGGTTTTTCAAGTTATGTTCTGTCTTCCAAAGATTTGTGAATCAATAACTATATCGTTTAACTATTTGCAATAGTAGGTAAATAAGTAGTTTTAGCAGTTATCGAAGTTAATCATTTTTGATTCATCTTTGTCAATGCAACATCATTTTTGTAAGCACATAAAAAAATAGCTATTGTATGATCCAAACTGAGTTTTGTATTGAGCTATAACTGTCTAGGTAGGTTAGATAAACGTCTTGTCCAGTCAAAATCAAAACAAGTGACTGAGTAAATAACGGATCTAAACAAATACTACCACTTAGTTATTCCACCAACAAATGTTCCATTATTCAAATCCACAGCAGTAAATAAATGATATTTTATCCCTACTGGATAGATCAGATTCGTTCGAAAGATAATATTTGGTTCCGATTCTGGAAGAGTGCTTCAATTCACAATCAAAATGCACAATTCCAGTCCATGCAAGCAACTCAATCAAAGGAGGCATAAATCAATATGACTGTCGCCATAAATAAGTATCAGCTTAAACAACATAAATGCAGTTCAGAAAGAAACATAGAAATTCAGTGAAGGCAGAAGAAATAAAAACTCTCATAAAATACAAATAGTATCATCTCAAAAATGAAATCGAACAGATTAACCAGATGTACAACTGAAGGAATCAATAAGGACATATTACAAATGTATATTCATGGAGGGATTTTCACAAACAAATCCTTCAAATAATAAATCTTACAGCTTTCACTACAAAATATTGTGTTTGGAGCTTAGAAGTTTCGGATAGTTTGAAGGAATATTTCATTTCTACATTTTCACCTTTTAATCATCCTGTTCTAATTTAAAATTTTTATTTCCTATCATCAGCTACATAAACTCAACATTTGTTTTATGCATGATGAATATTTAAAATGTACTTTATCAAAATTGCTCTTTTTTTGTTTGTTTGTTTGTCTAACATCATCGGAAATTCAATAATGAATAAATAATGAATAATAAATTGTCAAGTAAAATAATTGAACATTGAATTATTTGTTAGACTATTTATAATCTAAAATGCTCTTGTTTTAAAAAGATCAAAATGATCAAATTTTAAATGTTAGTAGGTACAATGATAATGATGATGATGATGATTTCCTAGTAGTTTCTTTTGATTCACTAATGCCGCCTTATTTAATGAAATGAAAATTTAACAGTCTTGATGATTATGAAAATGTTTTACTTCCGTCTTTTTATAAATGACTTCAAATAATCGGTGTTTGACCTAACATGATCACATTGACACTATGTTTGTTCAATAAAAGATGGATGTAACAACAGGTAGATAGGTTGAGTTAACGGTCATTATTTTTGTGCTAGTCTACGAACTAATGAGTGTTGGTTCATCAAGTTTGAATTTACTGATAAAACATACAAAAAGCTGTACATATACTCATGTATGACTCTATTAGGAAATTAGACTGATTGGTGAAATTCAGAGTACACTTCATTGGCCAAATGTGCCATCGGTTGAATGTTTTTTCTACCGGAAATTGAACCAAAGATCGTTCCTAGTCGACCAATCAGTCATTCATTCATTGAACTACTAAATTCAAATAACCATTAACACATTTATCGTGTGTGTGTCATCATTGATTGTATGAAAGAATCCGATATATTCCTTTGTTGATATTCTATCGTAAATTTTTGACTAGTCTTTGTTAAATATCGATATTTTTATATACTTTTGTAATACGAGTCATAATTAAAAGTGATGAATTTGATGATCATTTCTTTTTCTTATTTTCGAAATAACTTAAAATTCATTTTTACTAACATACTAACATGTATTTTTAAAATACTTCTAAGTAGATTTTGTCACGCAACAGTTTTATGCCTTCCTAAGAACGCAAGTGTAAGTCGTACAAAAAGAAATATTATTATAATTCAACCATTACTCGTGTAAAATTTACATCACCACAAATTTCGACGTGATAAAAATGTTTAGTTTAGTTCATTTTTCTTCCTACAAAATTTGGTGATATATTTTTTTTTCCAAAATAAGACAAAGAATATGTTACTGTTCGTAATGAGTATAACATTTTGTTATGGCTTTGAAAAAAAAAAATAGGGATAACGTATGTAGATAATATTGTTTACGTACATCTATATCCAAAAAAACTTATCGGTTATTTATGTGTATTTAGGCATAAAAATATGAAAAGAAACTTGTTGGTTATTATATTTAGACATATTACTAGATAATATTTCAATATAATGAATCTTTCATTAAAAAAATGCATTTTTTGTGTATTCTTGTTTAGATACAATTATTGCTTTAGAAATGCAATAAAAATTTTCGACAGAGAATGTTTAAGATTAATTCTGTGTACGGTGTTTCACCATTTTTCTGGATAGTGCAGTAATGCATTTAAAAAAAAACATTTATTCTGATAAATAACATATCAAACACACACTAGAATTATTCACTCAGAGTTATGGAGATAAGTGTTTGTTGCACATTGACATCACAAATCAATCATTGTTAGACCACCATTAGAAACCTGGAAGCGCTGGATGGCCTATTCGTCCTGTTATAGGACTCTTCAGCAGTGCGCATCCACGACTCCTGCATCTCGTAGGATTCGAACCCAAGACCTTTGGTAGTGCACGCGAACTGTCATAACACAACAATCCATGTGTATTATTACAGTATGACAAAACCTAATAAGATTAAAATTCGTAAATTTAAAAAATGATTAGTTGAACACTACAGGTGTTTAATTAACATAATTATTGTTCATAAATTAAATTATGCAATAAATAAGTGCTTATATGGATTGTCAGTCAGTCGGTCAGTATATTACAGCGACGAACTTAGTACATACGTCTACGCTACCTTACCAAATAAGCACAGAGACGCAATGGTCACTTCTAATCCCATAGTAGTAGTAGTAGTAGTGGTAGTAGTAGTAGTAGTAGTAGTAGTAGTAGTAATAGTAGTAGTAGTATTACCAGTAATCAGAAAGATTATGGTCCGAAGATATTATTCAAGAAGCATAATCTAGTGTAATAAATTTTTTTTAAAA